CAGGTCCCTGGCCCCGCCTGCCCGCCTGCCTCCACCCCTGCCTTCCCTCCGCTCCCCTCCCCGGCCGCGTGAGGGCTCTCTGCCGCAGGCTCTGGTCTGAGGCCCGTCTTGGCCGCGGGGCAGCTCCTCTTCGGTGTCCCCCCGAGCTCCCCGGGTCCGGGCGGTGGCTGTGGGCGAGGGGACGTGCGGGGAAGGGCGTGAAATCGCAGTCGGGATTCACTTGTCGGGACACGGAGAGGGAAGGGCTTGTCTGCGACCGCCCGCACGGAGATGCGTCAGCCCGGGCGGCGCAGGGGCTCCTGCCCGCCAGCAGCGAGCCTGAGCGGGGCCGTGCGGCTCAGCCGAGGGAGGGGAGCGAGGCCCGGCCCCAGCCGAGGGAGGGAGAAGCCAAATCAGCGCCAGCCCGGCGTTGCCCTGTGTCTTTTCTTGGCGCCTCTTCCTCCTTGTTGTTTGCCCCAAGGCCTGGGCAAGGCGGGTTATGGCTCCGCCAGGTTCGGCCCAGCCCTGGCACCTGCGCAGCCAGATGGGTTGGGAAGGATGGTCAGGGTGGTCAGGGAGGCAGGAAGGATAAGGGAGGGATGCTCTCACAGACTCTTCAGGCAGGTCAGGAAACGCCTGGCTCTTCCAGTAAGGGATTGTGCAAGGTTTTTAAAAGGTGGCCATTGAGTCTGTCTTACCCAGAACTGGATCTTTTGCTCCACAGGGAACTGCAAAGGGAGAGCTGCTGCCTCAGGCTCCCTGGCTCCTCCTGGGAGATGCAGGTAGAGGTGTCTCTTGCTCAGAGCTCCCCACGTCTGACTTAGTGGTGTGAAACAAGTGGAAACATCTGAGGGAATACTCAGCATTGTCCTGTTTTGAAATACTAAGTGGTCAGGGGTATTGGGCAGAGTCTCAGCGGTCTTTTGTTTCCCATGGAGATTGCCCCATCTCTCCTAAACAGGTGGGGTGATTTGTCATCTTGTATTTGGGTATGTTGTTTGGTATCCAGCCCTCAATGTGTGGCAACTTCTCCTGTGTCCTTGGCTTGCAGGGCTGCATTTGATTACAAGCTTGACTATATGCTAGAGCAGATGCTAAGGGGAAGCGCCTTGAAGGCTTAAGCATCACTCCTTTTCCTCCACACTTGGTGCCCAAAGAGCAGTGGAAGAGTGAAGGCAAGGAGGCTACGTGTCAGTCTTCTCTGGTCTGCTCTCCTCACCTGGGCAGCTCTTTCTCCCAAGCTCCTGATCAAGATGCAAAGATCCCTGCTTCTAGCCAAAGCACAGCAAATGACTCCATGGCTTTCAAATCTCAGGCTGTTTATTACAATTCTCACCCTAATAATGAAGGCTAAAAGGTTCCACATCATGTGGGGGAAGATCACAATGGCTGTAAATTCAGCTTTTTACATGACATCCTGGGGCCAGAAGTATCCACAAGCCAGAGCACTCCCTTCTGAAGGGAAGACAGACGGCACAGAGGGCAAACAACCCTTCCCAAGGGTTAACTAGAGACACCCTGGCATCTTGGCTAGAGCATCCATGCTTACACACTTCCAGCAGCACAGAGATCAGACACATTTCCATTTGAGGCATTCACCCTAAAAGTGGTGAAATCCCTGCTCCAAAATTAGCATTGGAGAGATGTTGCTTTAAAGTATGACCTGAGGAGAGCATATGCACGTAGAGGCCACAGTGATGTGTAAAGTACCACCAAGTACGAGAAGAAAAGAAAGCACATGAGAAATGTAACAGAGCATTTTGCACATGATCTGTTTTATCAAGAGCTAATGCAAATCTATTTGCCATTCATTTTCTTGACAATTGAGCAAAAAAATTTAGGAAAAACAAGAAAAGGCAAACCCAGTTCTTTTCTGAGTTACGGATGTGCAAAGTCATGGAAGATACTGTAGCTGCATCAAACCCTGTGAACAAGGGTTGAGCTGGTAAGTGTGAAAGAATTTATCAGACCTAGTTGTTCAAAGTTGTGTGTTGCTCGCTCGTTATTTTTTGCACATTAGTTGTCATTTAAATACTTGTTGAAAAAAGCCTGGATCTGTGGCCAAGCATGAACCTGGGCTTTAGAATAAGCCCCAAGCTGCCCACCCAGGACTGCCCGCTTATGCAAAATGGGATGGTTTCCTATGGGGTACAAAGGGAAATAGGGAGGGTCAATGCAGTGACCTGTTCCCGGGTAGGAGAGCATCTGAAAATTCTCCTTCCCTTGAGCCTGCAAAAGTTTGCAGACTTCAGTAGCATAATACTCACTTTTGACAACCCGGTCGTCTTGTCCCGTGATGAACAGTAACTGTGCCTCAGCTTTCTCTAGTGGGATCAGGCTTTGGTTGCCAGGGGCTTGAAAGGGGTCAATCAGGATGTCAGAACAATCAAGAATATTGGAGTCAATGATCTTGACCCGTTCTTCATTGATGGTCAAAGAGGGGATAACTTTATCCTTGTAACGGAGAGGAGTAGAAGTAATGGCCACAGGGCCATTGAGGGAAGCAACGGCTGTGATGTTCTTCAGGAAGGCGGCCATGGCGAGAGAGAGATCGGCTCCTTTGGAGTAACCGAGCAGTCCAACCCCTGGTCCCTTCACCTGGTAGAGAGGAGGAAATGCCCATCAGTACTGAGCTGAAAAACACAGCAGCTAGTTGCTGGTGGGGAACATTGTTTAATGCTGCGAGTTTGCAAAACACTGTGAAGGAGGTGATGGCAATGACTAGCTTTTCTTCTGCACAAGTGCCAAGCACGCCTCCCCCTTCAAACTGCTGCCTTTGATAATGTTCCCTGGTGCACTGACATCAGCCAAGAGAGTGGGAACGTGTTTTCACCAAGTTGAGGACAGGTTGTGGGACACAGCTAAGAGTTATTAGTCTCAGACACTGGCAGATGCTCTTTACCTTCCACTTTTAAGACTGTAGGAGGACATTTGGTGGCAATTTGTGAAGGCTCTCTCCTGCACAACCTTCCCACCTTGCTGTGTCTGGGGTGTCTCTTGTGAGATGGCTTTGTGATCTCCCTCCACCACTCTCCCAGTGCATATCTGTATAACCCTTCCTCTTTCCTACAGCCCAGGCACCCAGAGTCCTGGCAGATGGAGCCAGGTGAGCATTTCAGCAGCTTCCTCCAGAGAAACCTCAAGCAAAGGGACAGGCCCTTCGGAGAAGTGCTCCCTGAAGCCCAGGGGATGTGGAAGGTGCTCCTACCTGTGGGTGCTGGAGCATATAGTTCACTGCCTCTTCAAAATATTCCAGGTGGAGTTCAGTTGGCTCCTGGGGCAGATCCTCATACTGATAATAAGCCAGGGCCAGTGTGGCAAAGCCATGGTTGGCCAGCAGGCTGGCCCTGTGCTCAAAAAGACCTCCCCCGAGTCCGTGTATGTCGATGATGCCTGGGAAGGGGTCTTCTCCTGGAGGAGACAAGACAAAGAGCTGTATTGCCCGAAATGACTCCTTTGAATGTTTCTCTGCTTTAGAACGCATCAAATGAGGCACCCATCAGGAACCTGCAAAGAAGCATCTTTTGGGGAAAGACATACTCAGTCACTCAGCTGTGTGGTGTCAGCATCTGGAAAAACTCTAGAGTGTGTTGCAGAGGAAGAAAGGCTTAGGAGCAGAACCTCTTGGGTAAAATGCAAACCCTTTTTTGCTTTTAGGAATCCGCAGTATTTCTGCAGTGTGCTCTTCCTTCTGCTGCTGTTTGCATGCAGACAACAGCACATCTACTGACTTCATAGAGTGTGAGTATTCATAGCTGTGTCTATGTACCCCAGAGGCCCGGAATGCAGCTGTCTGTGGCCCATGGCTCAGCTGTGCGCAGCAGTGCTCTGTGGGTTTGCACTGAACGTGCACAGAGAAGGTGGTAACACTCAATAAGGTTGTGGAAGTGCTCAGGGGAGTTGGGACACTTCTATAGAAAAAGCCCTTTGAGCTCTCCACATTTATGTGGGCTTTAGGCCGTTTGCTGAGTAGTATCCAACTCCTGAATTGGAATGTGGAGATGTACAGCGTAGAGAGCGCTCCCAGGAACAGAAAATCACGATGGGGGTATGTCAGCACAGGACAGTTTGAGTCTGGTGAAATCATGGTGGAAAAACACATCTCCAAATGGAACTGTGTAACAGAAATACAGACCACAGACCGAGCTTACAGCCTTGCTAAGTCAAAGATTTGCTGTGGCAGCAGCAGGATGAGGATGAGCTCCTATCCTGGTCCTAGGAAACAATTCACAGTGCCGGAGAGTGCAGCAAGGGCCTGTCATTTTAAAACGCATGCAAAAGGAGCAAGTCAGGGGACACTGAGGAAATGCACCCTCCGGCATTTGACTTAACTGTAAGCACCTCAGCACTGGGGAGGCAGGAGAATTTGGGTACAAAATGTATACAGGTCACTTCTTCCATCTCCTGGTCAGCAGGTGGAGGTAGAGGTGAGGCAGAGGAGGGAGCCCTGTCCTGGCTGTGGATGGGATGCTGAGCCTGTGAGATCAGCCCTCCCTCACCCTGGGCTCTGGCAGGGAAGACTTGGTGTAGCTGCCCAAAAGATGCTGCATCCTGGTGGTGCCTTGGGCAACTCTTACACCTTAGAGCGATATTCTGCACCTTTTCCAGAGCAATTAACTGATTGCCTTTTCCTGCTGTGAAGCTTTTATCCCTGTAAATGTTCTTGAGCCCCTTGTTTTCCCCCTTTCACAAACTGATGATATCCATAGAAAGCCCAACATGGTGGACCGTGGTCACCATATAGTTAGTTGCTACAGTGCTGGGGAGGCAATGGGGATCCCCCAAACCCACATTTGTAACCACAAGCTGTGGGCAAGAAGGGTTATCTCTCTGCCTGATTCTGTAACCGTGTCCTGGCACCCGCACGGCCAGGTGAGTTGAGAACAATGGTCAGGCTGGTTGTGGTGCAGGAGGGAGGGGAGGAGAGCTCCTTTCATAGACTCCTTTTTGCAGAGGTCATGGAACAGCTTGCACTGACAAAACATTGGCTTAGGGAAAACAGGATGGCCGCAGCCGGTACTCACCAGGAGGCAGGGAGAGCGTTGCGCGGAGCCTCCCCTCCCC